GAAAGATCACACAAATATCATGAGTCTAATCCTGTATCAGCCAGCTACTCGGAAGTGTCTGCCCTCCTCATTACAGCAGCACCAAGTCCTTGATGGCTGGAACAATGCTGTAACCATTTTAAGAAACAACAGGGAAGTAAAAGAAATAATGAAAGAAATCAGAAGTATTTCTAACTACCATAACCATATGCACTGTTCTCGCTGCCCATAATGTACTTCATGTGGCAAACAACGTCCTACCAAAATAATTTACCATAATTGCTCTAAACAATGCAGGAACAGAAAGAACTTTCTGCAAGTGACAATCATTTTCCTGCTCACCTGAATAACTTTTACATCTTGTTGAAACCTCGGTGGTAGACCAAAATGCAAAATCCAATTCAACCTTGCACCAAGCAAGATGATTACATCAGCATGCTGTAATGCCCTAATAAAGGGAAATAAGAGAATCAAGTAAGGAGGAATTGGTATTAAATTTAATGTTTTCAAAATCAGAAGTAATCCTAACCACCACAGCAAACCCCAGAACATATCCTTTCTCTAAGTTGCTTGCTTTGCCCCCAAAACCTGTAACCTTTTACACAGCAAATCATCAGGACATTCTTGAGTTTAGGCACTTAAGAAGAAAATTAATTACAATTAAATACAAAGTGTTCAAGGCCAGGTTGGATGGGGCTTTGAACAAGCTGTTCTAGTGGAAGGTGTCCCAGCCCACGGCATGAGGTTGGAACTAGACAACCTTTAAGGTCCCTTCCAACCCAAACCATTCTGTGATTCTATGATTTTCCCGATACACCGTGTTTGGGAAAGGAATTATTACAGCAGGAGACTAACCAGATGCTACAACTATGCTGAGGTTAAAGCAAATGACTGACTACTCTGACACTGGCAACAGTGGGTGCCAAAATTAAGATTATTGTGGACCTTTCAGCTTAGACTCCTATTAATTTACCTGTCAGCTGAGCAGACAGTATTTGGTATGTTCTTTAATTCTCCATTTTTCTTAACAGTGATTAAACTAAGTGCTCAACAACAGAAATATTTTAATCTCAAAGTGTATAAATGCTCCATCTGCAAGCTGACTGTGCATATTCACACCTAATAGGGTTCTTATAGGGCATTTACATTAATTTTGCCAAAAGCCAAAACAACCCCACCTTTTATAAATGACTTTAAACACAGTCCTTCGGTGTAGTTTGAAATACCTTATTTTTTCTTTTAAAATAATGTGGAATTTAGTCATGGTGTATTGCAAACACCATGCAGAGACAGCAGATATCAAAACTTCAGCTGCAATGTATGCATCTTAAGCTCTTGTTTATGGTTTTAAAATAAAAAGCTAGTAGTTTGTCTAGTGCACCAAGTTAAATGTTTAAAAAACTGCCAGTTTCATTTTATGTTAGGAAATACATACTAACAACATTGATATATCTACTTGTCATAGATTTCACAGTTACAGAATAGTAGCTCTCAGGTAAAGTATCTTCCTGGCCAGCACTCTTAAGCATTGTCAAAAGTGATCCACTTAAATCTGTTGTCTCTTTCCAAGCAAGATCTTCAGTGCTTTAAAAAGAGGTACAAAATGTGGTTGAAAAATCTGTTATGTGCTCTTTGTCTTCCCTGGCATCAGTAGACCACCACAATTCCTAGCTGATTCTTAGAGGTTAGGATTAGAAGCCTTGCTTTATATTTACGTTGATCTTGCTGCAGCTACACAATTTGGATGGTTATCAGGAACTACTCCTTTTGCCATTGGTGTAGGCAAAAAAGGCAGTCCACAAAGGTCCACCAACTTTCTGATGTTGTTTTCAGCATGCGAATAAGCAGCACCTGAATGAAATGAAAGAGACTCCTTAATACTACAGAAGCCTACCGCATTTGCTTGAATTTCAATTAACCTGATTATATTAGTAGCAGAAAGAGCACTATTTCCTGTTACAAAAGTTGCCCGTTATTTTTCATTCTGGAAAATTCAAAACATAATACGCCAAACTACAGGTATTAGGTTCAAATTTCCCATATTTATTTACAAAAGCCTTTCCCCCTCCTAAGACTTCAGCTGAACTATTCAGCTATTTCTGTGAAGCAGGGCAGGGAAAAATAGGAGATAATGTGCATCTAAAACGAAAACTTTGAGTAGGTGAAGTTTGGTATTATGGGGCAGACTACTGCAGCAGCAACAGATGACAACCTTTGTATTGTGTCATGTCATATTTTGTTTGCCCCCTGTGTGCTGTTGTACCACATGCTCCACAATCTGCCTAAACAGATCTACTATAAGTCTTTAATTAAAAAAAAAAAGCTCAAAAGATGACCTTGTAAAGATATATGCCTATGCATACATCTACCGTGATGCTACTTTCCGTACATGGCTGCTGCATTAAAGCTGCCCAGGAAATCAAGAGTAACTGACTGGTGCTCATGCAGTAACTTAAGTCCATAAATCTTAAATCCTGAAGAATAAGCTTCTGTATTTCTTCAAAAACTTCTGCTAGCAACAATATGTAGCAGAAAGTCCAAATGTATTTAAATAGATTCTCAATTGCTGACATCAACAAAACATGTATTTATGTATTTTTGAGTTTCCTACTTTTCACTTTCAAAGAACACCCTTCTGTTCATGTGTATCAAGAGAGATGAAGGGGTAGGGGGCACCCCTCTCCTGATCTACCTTCTGTCTACTATTTTATTATCTAATCAATGAGAAGATCTATCTAATCCCAAACATTTCAGTCCTCAATTAAACACAGAACCTCTCTGCAAGATACAGACGACACCTGCAACTGCAGGAAAACAGCCTGGGTGAAGTAAGTTGGTTATTTCAATTCTGTTCAGTCTTAAAAGAATTTGTTTGGAATTTTGGAAGTGATGCTTTGGTACTGGCTCCAGTCTTAAGACAGTGGTTATCTATTTTTTTTTCCCTGCTCAAACTCGTATTTTATCAATTGACTTTTCCTTTCTACTAGATGAAAAAGACAACAGTTGCACAACAGAACATAAATATTCTAAAAACAGAGCAGATTTTAACATAAAATTTCGAAGCAGCTTATAGCTTCAAACAGTTCTGTTTTGGGTATTTTTTGCTTGTTCATTTTAATAAAAAGTGCAAAGGATATGGCTAACACTTATGAGGAAAAGAGGTCACTTTGGTTGTTATTCTTGTCCTGAACTTGCAGAGTTCAAAGCAACATTAAAGCATGCTACCTTTGCCAATGATGAGCAGAGGCTGCTTGGAAAGAGCAATGATAGATGCCGCTTTGGATACAGCAGAGCTTTCAGCCATGCTGACGGGAGCTGGCAGGCAGCATTCCACGTACCTGGGAGTCAAGCAAAACAAAACAGGCTCTTAAAAAATTCAAGCCAAAAAATGTTGAAAGATAAATCCGCAGTTGCTACACACCATGTTACTCTCAGCATTTATCAGAACATGATATATTTTTACTTTAAAGCTTTTCTTGCATGTTCCCTTCATCTCACAGGTAGTGGTGTTCCAGAGGTTTACAAAGTGACATCGTATTGTATTACCATCATACTACTATTTGCACATTTCATTACAAACTATAATCCATATCACATTATGATGGAATGTGTACATTCAGAGGCTGTATTTTCTTAAGAAGATACAAAAATAACTTTGTTCAATGACTTGAAAAATAATGAATATAATCTTCACGCACTTGACAGAGCTCTTATTCACCTGAAGATTCACAAAATCCCCAGGTATGTCAATATAGCAGGAACCTGGACGACCATATATGCTGGTTCTTACAGCCTAGAAAACAGATAATCAGTGTTAGCCACCATTTGAAAAGACATTAAGAATCTTTATGTGTAAAAAACAAGAAACCCTTTCTGGAAGCAGAGAAGAAACATGCTGTTTCATACTGCTGAA